AAACTGTGAATTGTGAATAACTGTCACCAGAATACAAAATGCATGCATTCAAAATAGACTAAATGGCAAAAAATCTTCCAGTGAGTTAGCATAATGAACTGCAAATATAACCAATTGTATTCATAGTCACCATAATGTATAACAAGCTGTTATTTTCATTCTGAAATAGGATATTTAATAGCTTTGTTCTAATACGATATTATTTATTTCTTGTTGTATGTCTGTTATAAACAGCACCAATACTTTATCTTGTCTCTGTTATAAGGCAGTAACCCAGACATTTATTTATTTTCTACGACAGCTGACAATGTTTGTACCTGGTTTTATACACAGATAGCTTTCTCCATCTATCTGTGTAAATATAAAACAAACAAAAAAAACTATCATTGCACATGTTCAGTGATTTTCATGTAAAACTCTTTTTCGCAACAGTTTAACAATGGCTTGGAAGATTCTATTTTGTCACCGAACCACCAGTTTCATCTTTCTGACCACCTTCATGCTCTTAATTGTCATGTCCATTTCTTTAACCTGGATGAAGTTTGACACCCTTTCAAAAGTGATCAAGTGTAAGCAAGCTGAGGTTATTTACAAGACAGTAGGGCAACAAAACATGACAGTTTCTTCCAATACTAAAGAGATTCTCGTTCTTGTTTGGGTTTGGCCATTTGGAACCCATTTCCCACTTGACACTTGCCAGATTGCATCAGGCATTTCTGGATGTAAAATGACAGCGGACAGGAGTCAATACAGTGTTGCAGATGCTGTGGTCATGCACCATGTAGATATCATGTATGACCAGAAATCATTACCGCAAGAACCAAGACCTCATAATCAGCACTGGGTCTGGTTTAACATGGAGCCTCCATTAATCATCAAAAACCTCAATTTTCTAGACAACCTGTTCAACTTGACAATGACGTTCCGCCAGGATTCTGATATCTACAGGCCTTATGGTAGGATTGTAGTTTTAAAAGAGCCACGGAAGCTCACCATTCCAGCTAAGTCCAAACTGGTCTCTTGGGTAGTCAGTCAGTGGTACCCTGGTGTTGCTCGTACAGCTTATTATGAAGAGCTAAGGAAATATATTCCTATAGATGTCTATGGTAAAAAAAACATGACATTGAGCTGGAATGACTTCTTCAAAACTATCTCCCAGTACAAATTTTATTTGGCTTTTGAAAATTCCAATTATAAGGACTATATCACTGAAAAATTCTGGTCAAATGCATATGATTCATGGGCTGTGCCAGTTGTGTTAGGGACCTCGCGTACGAACTATGAGCGATTCATCCCTCGAGATGCTTTTATTCATGTTGACGATTTCCCCAATGCCAAGGAGCTGGCTGCTTACCTTCTTGAACTGGACAAAGACGAAGAAAGGTACAAAAAATACTTTAACTGGAGAACACATTACCAAGTGATAAGAGATCCTGGATGGGAGCGTAACTACTGCCAAGTGTGTGCTGCATTAAGGAAAGCTCCATATTATCAGACAATTCCGAGTATAGCCAAATGGTTTTTAGAAAATGTAGAGGTATCCAACACCGAAAACTAAAAACTTGTACAAACTCTAAGATTAAACACAGCTGGGTCAATTCTGATCTATTGTCCTTTCATCTTTTGAAAATGGGATAAGCAACAAGGGTTATACTCATGGGCAGTCTAGTGCTTTCATTTTGTACTATTGTTTAGTGATATCTTCCATCTCTACTTCTTGTTAATGTAAGTTTTGTACATTGCTGGTAACAATAATAACTTGAGCAACAACTATCACTTTCTCTGCCAATGGGAGTAGAAGAGACTATTCTCAAACTCAGGTTCCAAGAACTTTACAAACCCCACCAAAACCTTATTATTATTTTATTATTTATATAGCGCCATCAGATTCCGAAACGTATGGGACCAGAACTCCCACCAGGTTTCTGTATGTTACACAAAAATGTCCATTTATTGTTCTCATAATTTATTTAATGAGTACATGTTGTGCAGGGCCTGGAATCTTCAATTAATGCATTTGTGATGATAATCGTGCTGTAGTCTTTGCAATGAGCGTCAGGGCTGCCATCAGAAATTTTGGGGCCCCTGACACAGCTCAAGGTCTGGGCCCCCCGGTGCCTGCACCCGAGTCCCCCCCGTTCCCCCCCCCAGAGTCCGCCCACAGGGATGCAGTATCTGCAGGGCCGGTGCAAGAATTTTTGCTGCCCTAGGCAAAAGTAAAGTTTGCCGCCCCCCATGTGACATCACAATGCCCCACCCATATGATCTGCAGTGCCGCCGTGTTTACAATAAAAGGCCTGCAGGGACAGGCTATAGACACCAGAACCACTACATTAAGCTGTAGTGGTTCTGGAGACTATAGTGTCCCTTTAATGTGAGGTAAATTAGAGATTAGTGCCACGAATAATATACTAGATTGCCTACTTACAACCAGATGAGGATGATGATGGGCTCTAGCTGCAGTCTGGCTCCACTGGTCTGGTGTAGAACAGGCTCTCTGGAGGCGGTTTGTAACTGTGGTCACAAAAATCAATGTTCTGGGAGAACGGGAAGCAGCTCCATTTTTTGGGGGCCCTTTACACAGCTCAAGGTCTGGGTCCCAAGGTCCACCTTCATGTTCCACCAATGAGTTTGTTCACAGGGGTGTGTGTGTGGGGGGATGTCCTGATGTGTGTAAGGAATGCATTGTGTGAATCTGTGTTTGTATGTGTAAGGGCTGCAAGGTGAGTTTGTGTATGTATGGGATGCAGTGGGTGCATCTGTAAGGGATGCACTGAGTGTGTGTAAGGGGTGCATTGTGTGTTGCTGTGTGTAAGGGATGCATTGCTTGTGTATGTGTGTCTGTGTGCATTGTGTGTTTTCTGTGTGCAAGGTGTGTGTGTGTGTGTGTTGGATGTCAATCTCTCCCCTGTCAATTTCCTTCTCCCCCCCCCTTCAATTTCCTTCTTCTCCCCCTCTCTCCAATTTCCTTCTTCTCCCCCCTCTCCAATTTCCTTCTTCTCCCCCTCCCTCTCATTGCCTTCTCCCCCCCTCCCTCTCATTTCCTTCTTCTCCCCCTCCCTCTCATTTCCTTCTTCTCCCCCTCCCTCTCATTTCCTTCTTCTCCCCCTCCCTCAAATTTCCTTCCTCCCTCCCCCCCTCAAATTTCCTTCCTCCCTCAAAATTTCCTTCCTCTCCCTCCCCTCCCTCAAATTTCCTTCCTCTCCCTCACCTCCCTCAAATTTCCTTCCTCTCCCTCCCCTCCCTCAAATTTCCTTCCTCCCCTCCTCAAATTTCCTCCTTCCACTCCCCCCTCAAATTTCCTCCCCTCAAATTTCCTCCTTCCTCTCCCCTCAAATTTCCTCCCTTCCTCTCCCCCTCCCTCAAATGTCCTTCCTCTCCCCCCTCAAATTTCCTTCCTCTCCCCTCCAAGTTCCCTACCTCTCTCCCTCCCCTCCCTCAAATTCCTTCCTCTCCCAACCAAATTTCCTCTTTTCCCTCACCCCCAAATTTCCTTCCTCTCCCCTCCTCAAATTTCCTTCTCTGTCTCCCACCCCTCAAATTTCCTCCTCCTCTCCCCCCCCTCAAATTTCCTCCCTCCCTCTCCCCTCAAATTTCCTCCCTCCCCCCTCAAATTTCCTCCCTCCCTCTCCCCCCCTCAGTTCCTCCCTCCCTCTCCCCCCCTCAAATTTCCTCCTTCCTTCCCTCCCCATCAAATTTCCTCCTTCCCCTCTCCAAACTTCCTCCCTTCCCTCCCCCACTCAAATTTCCTCCCTTCCTCCCTCAAATTCCCTACCTAACTCCACCCCACACCCCACTCCCTCAAATTTCCTCCCTAACTCCCCCACCACCCCACTCCCTGACAGGCCGGCGCGCGAGGGAGCACTCTCTGTGTGCTTCCTCGCGCGCCGCGTACTGATGCCGGAGCTGGAAGATGACGTCATGCTCCGGCTCCGGCATCAGTACGGTGCGCGAGGGAGCTGAAGAGGAAGCACACAGAGAGTGCTCCCTCGCGCGCCCGCCGGGTGACTGCAGGGCCAGCCTCTGGGGGGCCCTGAGGTGACCGGCTGCTGGGCCCCCCAGGAGAAGAGGCTGGCCCAGTGGGTACATACCGGGTCGCAGTATGTATCCACTGAATGTGGGGCCCGGACGACCTGAGCAGTCCGGGCCCCCCAGGACCGCCGGGCCCATGACAACCGTTACGGTTGTCATGCCCTGATGAGCGTGTTCTAGTGTGTTTGTGAAATGTTAATTTTAGTTACTGTTATAGGCAGAGCTCAATGATTCTTGTAACGGAGCTCCCTGCACTCCGACTGAGTACCCTCCGTTGACGGATGCTCCTAGCGCTTCCTGAGGACTCCAAGCGCTGCAGCAGACACCACAACCACCGCAGACTCCGCAACCGCCGTATCTTGACTGGAGTCTCGCCGTCTTCCTTCCACCCTGGATCAGCTTCAGTCCTTCAGGACTGTGTGGGAAAGAAATTCTCTCCTTCCACCCCTGTAAATTTAACCCTCCAGCATCCAGGATCAGGTGGTGAAGACCCTCCCTCCAAGGAGAAATGTCAGAACAAGCTCTTTAAAAAGAGCTAAGTGACTCAAGCTCAGGGAGCATGCAGAGCATAGCAATCCCCTGTGTGTGATTATAACAGTTCGGCCCAACAACGAGACAAGCAAGCCAATGCCAGAGGGATCAAGAAGAACTGTCAAAACCTTTATTTCCCTTGGGACCAGCCAATAGGGTCACCACACAATAACATTGTTAAAACCCTCAATAAAATCACAAACAGTCAAACCATAGCAGGCAACACACAGTGACTTATCACAACACAATGGCACATTTTTAAAGGGGTGGGGAGACAATATTTAACAGTAAATATCTCACCTGCCTGCAGAATTAGCAATATGCAAATCTACCCGAATATGCAAATGAACCAGTCTTGCAATTCAGGTAGTGTATATTGCTGTTGCTACCAACAGAGGGCACTAGACAAGCTCCATAGCCAAACCCACCTAGTTGGTAGCAAACCTCAGCAATACAAGAGAGCAGGCAATACATTACACAGTACACACACACACACACTATAAACAATTAAAGGGGTGGGGGAGACAATATAACAGTAAATATCTCACCTGCCTGCAGAATTAGCAATATGCAAATCTACCCAAATATGCAAATGAACCAGTCTTGCAATTCAGGTAGTGCATATTGCTGTTGCTACCAACAGAGGGCACTAGACAAGCTCCATAGCCAAACCCACCTAGTTGGTAGCAAACCTCAGCAATACAAGAGAGCAGGCAATACATTACACAGTACATACACACACACTATAAACAATTACATTACACACACCCTGCACCTATAATGGGTACAGGGTGACTAAAACATAAGATAAATAAAGCAGCCTACATAAATAGTCTGTCTGAAGGTAGACTAGGGGCTTTAAAGCCAGATACATGAAAGAGTCATAGTCACAGGGGAGGAGGCTGGCAAGTAGGCCTCTCCAGGACCAAGTGGCGAAGGGCACTTCGTCACAATTCTGATTTTAAATTCCAAGAAAGGCCTAACCCTGTTATAATGAGGACTTCTGAATGTCTAGATGAATGCATGCTGACATACATATACTTTCTTCCTGGAAACTAACTCACTACATTTAAAGGGATGCTATTGTCCTAAAAATAAAAATAACTTTTTTGGGACACATCCTTTGGCATTAAAAAATCTAAGTTTAAGAAACTCTGGGTCTCCTCCACTGTAGCCTCCAGGCTAGTCTCAGGTGATTTCAGTATCAAAGCTGCCATGACCATACAGAAGCAATGGATGGACTAGGCAAGCACGGCCAAATGCCCAGCTCTTCAAATCAAATGGTGCTATCAGCAGCAATTGATTTCCAGTACCAGGATTAATTCTGGAGGAAGAAGCACCTCTAATGGCTGTCAAGAAGACAGCCACTAGAGGTGATTTGTAAACATATGCAGGTTTGTGAGCTGAATTGTTTGTAACTGAAATACACCAACTGATATTTTATAAATGCTCAAGGCTACAAAATATATACTAAAACTGGCTGTTGAAGTTAAGCCTTGCTACTCTTGCCTTACAGCCATTTGTTTTTGGCAATCTGAGTAGTATATAAAAAAAATAGCCTAAACAAATGGGCACACCTAGAGTATATAGAGCATAGACCTGTTCAAGGCTCCAGTGGAGGAGTAAGTCTGGGGAAGGCTATTGGACCATTGGTCTGTAAAAATGATTCTGGAACAGGGCTGTGGAGATCTAGAGACATGAGCTGGACTTGTACAGAAAGACATTGATGGAAGAGCTGTGGTTAATCCAAATCCACTGAAGTGTGAAAAGAAGATTCCAGGATTGTATATGCACCGAACGAGAGGACCCCACCCAGAGCTGTGTACGTGCCAGGAACCCGAGATTGCAGAGCTATTACAACAAGGAGTAACTGTATATAATGGAAAGTGTTTATTGCTATAATTGTTACAGTTATCGTTGCATTGTTATGTTTTGTAATTTTAATGCAGATTACAACAGCTCGTAGCATTTCTTACCAGATAATAAACTGGTATACTGGTATAAAACGGAAATACTATTCATATATAGATACAAAGTGTATAGCGTTCAAATACATTTTATTGCTATTAAGGTATCTTAACTAAATAATAAGCTAGAATCAGGCCACACCTAGAACTATACGGCAAATGGTAATACCTGCATGTTATTCTCTCAGATGGAGAATTGAGAGAAAGAATGTGGTTCCAACTTGAAATATCGCACAGGACAGAAAACACCCTCTGAATTCTCGGATCTCTAGCAAACATTAAGTAATCTGTTAAGCTGGAATTCAATTCATACAGCAGACTGGACCAATTAGAAACGTCAAAGAATGGCCTTTCCCACCTGTCATTTCAAACTGCACCCTTACTCATATAGACTGAGATACATAGATGAAAGCAGAAACACGTATCCTTATTTATTCTGTTAACAAATAAAACAGAAATGCAGACAAACTACTAAGACATGTACATTAGGGTCTAGATGGCAGTCTATCTTTATTTTACAATACCTTACAGAACAAAAGCATGGGCTCATCAAATGCTATACATGAAAAAAAAAATGTATATGTCGAAAAACAAAAGGTTCACTTATTATATCCTTGCCGAAAACAAGGGCTCTAGCGCAAAAGAAAATATTACGGCTGGATAAAGGTGTAAGAAACGGAGCTAGTTAGATCTTTTAAAGCCGACTTGGCTTTGGCCTTGACTTACATAATCACAGATATTTCTATTCAGAGAAATATAAGTAAGTCTTACTGTTGTTTCTAAGAACTGCATTTACTGAAAGAAAATGACAAAGTACTTTATCTTTATTACAAAGTGTAGAAGTAATGTGTACATATTATGTTCTACCTCTCACTGAAAACCCTTCAAACTTCGATGGATGTGACGGACATTCTAAAATGTCTTACACGCTTGCATAAATAATATTTAACTGTAAAAATACAATAATTATGTTATAAATCAATAACTGATTCTATACACAAACCAAAAAGCACATCATGAAGGTTTTTACATCACAAAAATGCTATGAATGATGGCCTATGTTTTATTTATTTCCAGCAATAAATCGGTCCATATGTTGACTCCAGGTACATCAAAATCTCCGCCTTCCATTTTCAATGTTTTAAGCATTGTTTCTGTGGCTGCTTTAAGGTCCTCACCACCTTCCATCAGACATTCAAAATGTTCTAGGAACATGTTGAAGGTCATTGTCATTGAGGTACTAACCCAATTCCCTGACACAAAATCTTGTTCCATGGATCTCCCCAAAGTAGTTAAGAAGTCAAGGTAGGCTTCTCTCAGCATTGGATATTTGCAACTTAATCTTGTTAAGCTCTGACATCTTAGATTACGGCAGAAATCTTGCCAAATGTTACTATTAGCTAGCAACCATTCTAGAAGCAGTTGGGACAATGGCTTCAGACCCATTAGACCGACTGTGTCAATATTGGAGATCAGCACAGATGCTAATAAATAGTAAACATGTGGCTGTGATATCCCACTCAGGACATCTGACACACAGGCAGACTGATGTATTTTTCCTACAGTCTTGAATTTGTCTTCTAAATAACTTTTGAGCATTTCTGCTTGAGTTAATACAAGAGGATCTTCTAACGGGTCTTGCAGTCCATCGGAACTGGTTTGTGGAAAAGGTAGCAAAAGTTGCAAAGCAGCCTTTTGAGATACACTATTGTTCACACCGCAAAGTTTAGTAGTCTTGCTAGTATCATCACTTAACTGTGAAATCAGAAACTTGAAGACTGATTTAGGAAGTGCCCTGTTCAGCAGAAGATTTGTGCAGAGCATGTCCACACTTTGCCCAAGGTTATCGAAATGTACGTGTTGATAGTTCTTTGTGCAAGCAGCAAGCTCAACATTCTTTAATTGAAGAAAATCCTCTAAGATAGTTTTGATAGCGTCATTGGCGCTGAATTTCTTATAGATGTGTTTGAAATACGTCCCCCACTTCAAGCCCTGTTTCACACTCAAAATGTCCCAATTCTTTACATAAACACTTCGAGATACAGCAAGGAGTTCAATGAAATGATCTAGGTTCTGTAACAATGACTCCTTTTTCTCTGTCATGGCTCCAGCAATGTTATCCAATCGGTGTCATCCAAACTACAAAAACAAAATGAAAACAATGCAGTGTTTCTGTACATCTTTATAACAACAACATATATATTTTTAATTGTTAGGCACAATTAACAGGATGATTCAGACTGCACTTCATACATTCAAAACAAGTAACAAAGTTTGTTAAAGGGTTACTCCAAGCACCTTATCCAGTGCTTTGAAGTGGTCATGGTGCTTGTATGTGGAGCATTTCAGTATGAAACATTGCACAGAGAGAGATTAACCCCTATCATGCTGGAGTAAAACTCCACCTCTGTCAGCATCATCGGAGCTTCGTAAGTCAGATCAGAACAACAGGTTCATCCTGGTTAATTTCAACCTACGCATGGTTCTGTGCACAGACACTCATTCATTGGCTAAGAGAGATTCAGCTCTGCGGGAGCTGGATGTCTTAAGCCTGCCTATTGTGGTGTTGTGTTTATGGGGACTGTGTGTTTGTGTGGGGTTTTTGTATTATTTGTATGAGGGGGAGGCTAATTATGCACTTTGAGTATATCTGTGTGGGTGGCTTCCGTAGGGCCCAGTGGGGACTGGGCTAGCCAGGTACAGGTCAGGAGCAGAGTTGTGATAGCTGTTGTACTCCAGTGCGGATTCCCGTTCACAAATGTGGGGAGGAATCACGTCCTCTAAGTACTGCAACGCGGAAACTGAGGAATTCCCATGGCCACCTGCAATCACAGCTCTCTTTGCACCAGCAGATATGTGAAATCCTACTGATACACATAATAGATCAGATCCTGTTTGGCAATGATCCCTGGTCTAGACCATATGCCATATATCACTGCCAACTAGGGTGTTATGGGATATAAAGTTTAGCTTTAGTAGGAATATCAGTTAGTAAATCAATTAAGATACTAGTGCAAGCTACTAAAACGGCAACATGGAGCCTATTAGTTTGCATTATTATTATTGTATAGATAAATCCTCAGG